CTGCATCTTGACAATCTAAATAGGAAAAATCTATTGACTCGTCAACTACTGAAGCCGAGTATATGCAATGACAGAAGCAGGAAAAGAAATGCTTTGGTTGAAGAGGTTTCTTCAACAGTTGGGAATGAAGCAGGAAAGATACGGTATCCATAGCGATAGTCAGAGAGCATTGGATTTAGAGAAGAATGCAATGTACCACTCTTTCACGAAGCACATTGATGTTAGATATCATTGGCTACGTCAAGCAGTGGAATAACAACAGTTCAAGTTGGAAAAGATTCGTACTAATAAAAACCCTGCTGACATGATGACAAAAGTTGTAACAGGGGGGAAATTTCAACTTTGTGCTGAGTTGATCGGCATGGAATGCATGTAAAGAATTGAAGTATATTACCCTTTGGCTGTAGGGAGAGAATTATAGGGTCCAGCCAAAAGCCACCATTATTGAAAACAAAGAAGGCAACTGGCTGTATTTTGTTGAAATGGAATGCAATTCACATTACACTCCCTTCTATAAATAGAAGGCATCAGGCTGCACATAAATACACCTAGCAAAAGAAGAAAAAGAGCAGAAATAACATTTTTTTTGAGTATTAGATTTTTTAGTGAGAGAAAAATAAAGTGTTTGAGTAAATCCTGTGAGTGTGAGAAAAGTACATTGAGTTGGATATCATCTCTATTACTTATTGTTTGTAATATTTGAATATGAGTGGGTCTCACCGAGTCTCTATATTTTGAATTTTTCGTGTAGGGGAGTATGAAAAGATATTGTAATTATATTGATAATATAGTAGAATTGTTCGGAGGTTGTCCCGTGGATTTTTCCCTTACATTGAAGGTTTTTCCACGTTAAATCTTGATGTCTTCTTTCTTTCATAATTTATTTAATTGGGATATTATTAGTAAGCTCTGTGGTCGCAGTTTAATCTAATCTTCCATATCATAAAAGAATTATTCATGTTTTATTGCAAGAGATTTTATTTGCCAATATTGAGTTAGTGAGGTTGAGATCATAATTCACCATTTTACATGGATATTTTAATTTACACCTTACGGATTTACGCATTTGAGCGCTAACACTTATTTCCTTCGCACAAGTTCGGTCAAATACGCGGAAAATCTGTTTTGCATTGCTCTTAAGGCTTACCCAGATTTAAACTTGCAGACCAAATTACCAAATTTTATATCTTTATTTATGAACAAGAATATTACTTTGAAAAAACTATATGTATCTTCTTTCACAAAGAATTCCCGTGTCTGAAATATGAACGTACCGATTAGTTGACCAATTCTTTTTCACATGCAAAAGTGCCCCTATATATTAATTCAGAACGCGCTGAGCCTACGTGGCTGCTTCTGGTGCTTCGGAATTCTATGTGGCAAAATTACATGCTTCGTTATTAGGCTTGTCTAAATTTTAATTTAATTCCAAACAAAAAATAATTAAGTTCGGATTACCATAAATATGTTGATTATTTATGGTCATGTTACATTTATTATTTGCATTTCAATATCATTCTTTATTATAATTATTGAATTGTATATACATTTTAAAAGTTAATAATTTTTGTATTTTTTATCAGTTTTACATATGTAATATATCAAATTAATCTTCTTTTGATGAGTTTCGATTTAACATCCATATTGTATGTATAAAAAAAATAATTTATATTTATCTTTATAACAGTAATAAAATTATTTTTAATATTAATTAGAAAAATAAAATTATTTATCAACTAATATATTTATATTTCAAGTAGTTATATGATATAAGTTATAAAAACTAATATAATATAACACATGTAAGTTATAAGTAACTCATATCATTCTAAAATATATAGTAATATATTTTTATCGTAAAAAAGTAAACTAAATTTAATATAGTTTCTCATTAATTTTAAAATTTAAGAATATTTTTTTAACAAGCACCCGTGTAATACACGGGTGTTGTACTAGTTTAATAATAAGTAACAAAGAAAATCGATCCCTCGTAAACTTTAATTTCACCATTATTTTTCAATCTTGAGAAAATATTTTCCAATTATAAGAATAATTCCACGCGCATTATAGCTAATGAACGCATATTTTGACTTGTACCGTAAGCTTTCTTGGTGGGTGTGGGTCCACACTCCCCAGATGAACCAATCACAGGCAAATGCCTCCCCATGTTCTCAAATATTTAGTGAAAGTTAGATATAAAATCTCGATTTTCCTATGAAACTGTTGTATAGTGGAGTCAACATTCTATATACAATAAATAAACTTACCATATTAATAAACTTATTTTAATGTTATTTAAGTAATCAAAAAATATGTAGATTTACTTGTTGTATAAAGAATATTGACTCCACCGTGTAACCAACTGTTGGGTTCATAGCGAAATCGTATAAAATCCCGCCTATATATATACTCAACCAAATAGCTTGTCCAAACATCATGTATTCCAAGTCCCTCAACATCAAAATAAAATAAAATAAAATATTTATCTTCATCACTTCTAATTAACTCTCTTTCGTTAACAATGGTCTTGTCGAAAATCGCCTCACAGTCCGATGTCTCGGTCCACTCGACTTTCGCGTCGCGTTACGTTCGCGATTCCCTTCCCAGGTAACAAACTTTAATTTCTCGATTTTTTTTTAGCATATGATTGTAAAAGTATCGATAACTAATTTATCAATGTATGTTCGTAGGTTTAAGATGCCGGATAATTCGATACCAAAGGAGGCGGCTTACCAGATCATAAACGACGAGCTAATGCTGGACGGGAACCCGAGGCTGAACTTGGCTTCGTTTGTGACGACGTGGATGGAGCCAGAATGTGACAAGCTCATCATGGACGCCATTAACAAGAACTATGTGGACATGGATGAGTACCCTGTTACCACTTAGTTGCAGGCAAGTTAAATTAATTAATTATCTTTTTATATTAATTGATTTTTTTTTTTGTTTAGTTTATTTTGTTGAGATTAGTGATTTGTACGCGTTTATATAAAATATTGTATTAAGGTCAAAATTTTCATAGTTTCATAAATTATATAAGCTTGTGAGTATTTAAAATTTTCTTTGTTTTCTCTATTCTTATTTTTTTTTTTAATAATGCGACTTTCCAAATGAAGAACAGTTGGTAACCACGTTTTCAGATCCCACAGATATTGTAATTCATCAACCTAACCTTATAGCATTATTTAACTCACTCATCTCAAATCGATTAGTTAATTATTATTACAATAAACATGATTATGCTAATGCCAATGATTAACGATTACTGAAGCAGAACCGTTGCGTCAACATGATTGCCCACCTCTTCAATGCGCCACTCGGCGACGATGAGGCGGCGGTCGGCGTCGGCACGGTTGGCTCGTCGGAGGCCATAATGCTTGCGGGCCTCGCCTTCAAGAGGAAGTGGCAAAACAAGATGAAGGCACTCGGGAAGCCCTACGACAAGCCAAACATCGTGACGGGAGCCAATGTTCAGGTCTGCTGGGAGAAGTTTGCCCGATACTTTGAGGTCGAGCTCAAGGAGGTGAAGCTCAGGGATGGGTACTACGTGATGGACCCAGAGAAGGCGGTTGAGATGGTGGACGAGAACACTATATGTGTGGCCGCCATTCTCGGGTCCACACTTAACGGCGAGTTTGAGGACGTTAAGCGCCTCAACGACCTCCTGGTCGAGAAGAACAACGAAACAGGGTATATGTGCGTGTAAATTTGATGAATACAAGTATATATTCACATAACTGTTAGACTCACAGATGTGACATGTGTATGCAGGTGGGACACGCCGATTCATGTGGACGCCGCTAGTGGTGGGTTCATTGCGCCATTTTTGTACCCTGAGTTGGAGTGGGACTTTAGGTTGCCGTTGGTGAAGAGTATCAATGTGAGTGGGCATAAGTACGGGCTTGTGTACGCGGGTATCGGGTGGGTCATCTGGAGGAGCAAGGAGGATTTGCCCGAAGAACTCGTTTTCCACATCAACTATCTCGGAGCCGATCAACCCACTTTCACTCTCAATTTCTCCAAAGGTTCTAGCCAAGTCATCGCGCAATACTATCAACTCATTCGCTTAGGCCACGAGGTAAAACTCACAAATTAAGATTATATCGATCACCCGATACTTATTCATTATCTAAGTCCAATCACGATTTGATTAGGTTTGAATCGTTTGATTATGCCCGTGTCATTGATGTTTTCCAAATAAACGGTTGTACTTGTAATGTATTTATTGTAGGGCTACCGGAACATCATGGAGAACTGTCAAGAAAACGCGATGGTCCTCAAGGCGGGGCTCGAGAGGACCGGGAGGTTCAACATCGTGTCCAAGGACCACGGGGTCCCGCTCGTGGCCTTTAGCCTCAAGGACAACTCACGCCACAACGAGTTTGAGATATCGGACATGCTTCGGAGGTTCGGGTGGATCGTGCCCGCTTACACCATGCCCCCGGATGCACAACACGTCACGGTATTAAGGGTCGTAATAAGAGAAGATTTCTCACGGACCCTTGCGGAGAGGCTCGTCATGGACATTGAGAAGGTGATGCACGAGCTCGACTCCATGCCGTCGAGGGTTCCACAGGAGAGCTGCCCACCACACCCTGTGGTCGTGAAGAAGTCGGGGATAGAAGTGCAGAGGGAGGTCATGGCGACTTGGATCAAGTTCGTAGCCGATAAGAAGAAGACCAATGGGGTGTGCTAGATTTTTGGTTGAGTTTTGAGAAGGCCCGGGTGAAATTGGCTATATATTGTGATTCATGCAACTTTGATTTTTGTTGTTGAGATATGCTGGATTGTTATGGTTAAATGAGACCGGTTTATGGGATTAATTTTGGAATTGAATATTGTTGTTCCAACGTTTCTGATTTGTCGGATGCTGAGTTTATTTCTGTAATTCAATCAAGCTATGAAGCTAATGATTTTGACCTGGTAGGGATTTAATGGCATGAAGTCAAGCAAATCTTTTTGTTGTAGTGAAAATAAGTTGTCACATTTTAACTTTCAAGTAGACATGGCCATGGTCGGCCCAGAACCGGCTAGTATATATGGGTCATTGAACGGATCCTTTCTAAACAATGTTCTGAAAGTCGCTATGCGTCCGATAGGTGCTCGACCAGTGGCTAGCGCCCAGAGCACTTAGGGGGGCCGAGGCGGCGCCTAATTGGGGCATAGAAATCAATATTAAATACTTTATTTTTTTATTTATTTTAACTAACTACAAAATAAAATTATTTCAACTTGTAATAAATCGACACACTTAATATAAGTATAACAACATTAATATATTTAAAAAAAATAATGTAATTAATATTTAAAAAAAATTAAAATAACTGAAAAATTGCCGCTGAGCCCGCCAAGTCCGCCTAGGAGCGCCTAGGGCCGCCTGGCCGATTTGTTCAAATCGCAGGCCCCTGGGCACCGCCTAGGCCAATTTTTAGAACAATGGCTACAAACGAACTGGTTTTGGACCTTACTTTTCTTTTAACCCGCTGGGTCCCAGCCAGTTCCAGGACGAAAGACGAGTTCGGTTTTTGAACTTTTTTTTTTTTTCGGGCCGGGCCGAGTCGACCGTTTGGGGCCCGACGACCAGATTAAATTTAGGCCGACGAATCAAGCTGACCATTGGAAATCCAACAGTTAGTTTTATTTTTATTTTATTTTATTTCTAAACTTAGCGGTAGCAGGTTTCCGTCCAAAAAAAAAAAAAATCAAAAAAATTAAAAAAAAATCTACATATACCCCACCTCAATTCATTATTAATCGTCTGACTGTGTTAACAATCTCTCTTCTCCCTCAATTCTACATTCTTGAAACGTTTGGTTTTGAGTTTCTGTGCTCGGTTTGCAAGAAATCCAGTCCGATTATATATAATTTCGGTTCCAAACTTCTTATTCTATAAAATCACAATAATGTTGGTTCCGGTTCTATAAATTTCGTGGTTCGGGCTCCGGACAAAAGGATAAACATAGTGGCACATCTTCTTCGAGACCTTCATTGTCAACAGTGGCGAGACCAACGATACATCGAGATGTACCGGGTATAGCCGATGATATTGATCCCGCGACGATCGAGCACACATTTGAGTCCATTGATGATATCCATGAGGCCCACACGAGGAGTACGAGCAAGGACAACAACAGCCGTATGAGGATGATGTGGATGATATCTTAAGAGGTCAAGGGACTCAGGAGCCTCAGAAGCAGGCATAGGCACAGATGGCCTCCGTCTGCACGAACGGCCGTGGCGGTCAATCGAGAATTTTGAAATCCGACATATTTGAACGACATTACACAAAGGTGCCCAATCCCGAAAAAGTGAGAATCATTTTTTTGCTGTTTGCAACTGTTGTCCGACCAACTCCAAGAAGACGTACGCTTTCAAAAGAGGCGATGGGTAAACGTTGAACCGACACATAAGGAATTACCATCCGAAAAGATGGGGATTGACACGATACAAACGCAACTCACGAGTAGTATCCGACCAACTCCAAGAAGACGTATGCTTGCAAAAGAAGCGATGGATACGGAACATTGAATCGACACATAAGAAATTATCATCAGAAAAAATGTGTATTGACACGACACAAACGCAACTCCCGAGTAATAGCACTGCATCCGCGACGACTGGCAAAAACATTAATAGGTTATGTCATTGGATAGATGATTGTTGAACTTTACAAAAACGTTTAATAGGTTATGTTGGATTTCCTAAATGACAAACTGCTTCTAATATCGCTCGTTTAATTTCAAAGGTCTTGGATAAATACAAAATTGGTAAAAAAAAGTGTTTTTCATTTCTTTTAATAATGCTACTGCCAATACTGCATCTATACGTGAGCATAAGAAAATTTGTACTACCATTTATTGGGAAGGATTTTTTCATGTCTTAAATATTTGTGTGCAAGCGGGTTATCATGCTTTGAAAGACTCGGTCACGTCCATTAGGGACGCTGTTACTTATTTACATAAGCGTCCCCAAGAAATGAAAGCTTGGTAAGATTTTGTGTTACTTATTGAAGTGACACGATTGATTGGATGGCGCTATTGGAGCATTTTTCAGGAGTGCTTAACGTAAAGATTTGATGTCCGAGTTACTTCGAATGATTGGTGAATTGTAATGCACTTATTCAATTTTTAGAAACATTTCAAAATGCTAATAACATACTTTCTGGTGTTTACTATCCTACTGCTCCACTTTTGTTAAGTCAACCTGTAGCAAAAATGTGGCGTTTTAAAGATATTATTTTAATGATCCTATTGAATATGACGAATTAGTTACAGACAAGTTAAGAAAATTGTTAAAATATTATTATCTCATTTCCTATGCATTTTGAGTTGCATGTTTGTTAGGTCATTTAGTACGTGAAGCTGGCTTGATAAACCAACTTACCATGTATTATGATAATATGTATGAACTCCCAATTTTGGATGATGTCCCGAAATATAGTAAAAAAACTAATATATAGTTGCTCGTCGAGCAAGCAAAGAATTTATAGTATGATTTGTCTAAAAAAACAACAATCGGACTTGGGGAATCTCCAAAGTCATTTGTTTGTGGCGCAGCGACGAGTCTTCTTATTAGGAAATGGGGAACGCAACAAGCCAAGTGCTTTAGTGATTGGTGGGATTCATTTAATCCCTACAAGAATGCTAGCATCCAAAGGACAAAGGGGACTCGATACTATATACTTACGGTTGCTCGTGAACCAACTCCGGCACTCATTTTCAATATCTTGGATTGGTGGTCAAGAATGAAAGATAATTTTCCAATTCCATGCTTGATGGCCAAGGAGATTTTCTCCGTCCCAGCCTCGACAGTTGCGGTCTAACAAGCATTCAGTGAGGGATATTACATGCTAGTCATACGACGGCCGAGATTGATGCCACAATATTTGGAGGCACAATGTTGTCGATAGATTGGAAGAAGGCCGAACGAAGGATGCAAATGTCTATTCTTTCTAATGAAGAGGATGTAGAGGACGATGATGATGCATCCAATTTTACGAGTTCGACGAGTGACACCAGGACCACTGAAGACGACTACGACTATTAGAGCCAACCACCCAAGTTAAGTAAAGTAAGAGAACTACTATACCAAACACCCGGTAAGGGTCGGTGGAGACAGCTCCCGTTCCGCACTGCCAGAGGTAGGCCGTGAGGACGTCGAATGTTGAGCAACGACGATTGAGACGGCTGCGGAGGGCGAAGATCTCGGCCGCACACTGGCTGCGCCCCTCCAAGCTTACTTCCCCTTCCTTGCTTGCCATTCGAAAGCATTCGAAAGGAAGTAGGCGTCATTTCCTTACAGCCTTTTCCTCTGGGGGAGCGGTAGGACAGCCAAGCCAACCATAACAGCACTTCTTCCACTTCAAATAATGCACTAAATCTTCAGAATATCAGGGAGAGGAGAGGCGAGACTAAGGTGCAAATGTCGCTTGGGATAATATATGTTTGCCGCGCTTGGAGGGGGGAGGGAATTGTAGGATACACCGAAAGAGATAAGAATGTCTGGAATCCAGATTATACAAGGAGACAGGGCCTCCGCCACCGGCTGTTCCGGGGTTGCCTTTTGAAGACACTAATGCGGGTCGAAGCCTTAATCTCTTAGCCAGGTCCGGAAATCGACCACTCGTGCGTGCGAGACTTCCGGATGCGAAAATCCCGCGATAGCTGCTTCTATTAGCTTATTACTCTTGCTGCCCTAACCCCTTTGTTTGTTATGTTTTTGTGCTTATTTTATGTGTTTATTTGTGTTATCGAGTCGAGTTTAGGTTCGTTTTAGTGTCGACCGGTCCATTTTGTCACATTTTGTGTGACTTTATGTTTTTCGTTTCATTTCGTATTTTGGCGTACTTATCCGTGCTTTTGATATAATTTCAGGTTTATTTCGAGGATGAATGAGGAGAGTCGAGACGAGTACTCCAAAGTCAATCCCGAGTCAAGTCGAGTCATTTCGGACGAACCAGCCCTAGTCGAACGTGT